AATAGAGGCTACCTGAGGGAGCTTTGTCTGTGTCCGTGTGACAGCACTTGCCCCTACACCCTGCTAGAGGCTACCTGGGGGAGCTTTGTCTGTAGCTGTGTGTAACAGCACTTGCCCCTACAGCCCTACTAGAGGCTACCTGGGGGAGCTGTTTCTGTGTGTGTCTAACACAGCACTTGCCCCTACAGCCCTGCTAGAGGCTACCTGGGGGAGCTTTGTCTGTGTCTGTGTGTAACAGCACTTGCCCCTACAGCCCTACTAGAGGCTACCTGGGGGAGCTGTTTCTGTGTGTGTCTAACACAGCACTTGCCCCTACAGCCCTGCTAGAGGCTACCTGGGGGAGCTTTGTCTGTGTCTGTGTGTAACAGCACTTGCCCCTACAGCCCTAATAGAGGCTACCTGGCGGAGCTTTGTCTGTAGCTGTGTGTCACAGCACTTACCCCTACAGCCCTAATAGAGGCTACCTGGGGGATATTTATCTGTGTCTGTGTGTAACAGCACTTGCCCCTACAGCCCTGCTAGAGGCTCCTGGGGGAGCTTTGTCTGTAGCTGTGTGTCACAGCACTTGCCCCTACAGCCCTAATAGAGGCTACCTGGGGTATCTTTGTCTGTGTCTGTGTGACTTCACTTGCCCCAACATCCCTACTAGAGGCTACCTGGGGGAGCTTTGTCTGTGTCTGTGTGTCACAGCACTTACCCCTACACCCTGCTAGAGGCTACCTGGGGGAGCTTTGTCTGTAGCTGTGTGTCACAGCACTTGCCCCTACAGCCCTAATAGAGGCTACCTGGGGGAGCTTTGTCTGTGTCTGTGAGTCACAGCACTTGCCCCAACATCCCTGCTAGAGGCTACCTGGGGGAGCTTTGTCTGTATATGTGTGTAACAGCACTTGCCCCTACAGCCCTGCTAGAGGCTACCTGGGGGAGCTTTGTCTGTGTCTCTGTGTAACAGCACTTACCCCTACAGCCCTGCTAGAGGCTACCTGGGGGAGCTTTGTCTGTGTCTGTGTGTAACAGCACTTGCCCCTACAGCCCTGCTAGAGGCTACCTGGGGGATCTTTGTCTGCATCTGTGTATAACAGCACTTGCCCCTACAGCCTGTTAGAGGCTACTTGGGGGAGCTTTGTCTGTGTCTGTCTGACAGCACTTGCCCCTACAGCCCTGCTAGAGGCTACCTGGGGGAGCTTTGTCTGTGTGTGTCTAACACAGCATTTGCCCCTACAGCCCTACTAGAGGCTACCTGGGGGAGCTTTGTCTGTGTCTGTGTGTAACAGCACTTGCCCCTACAGCCCTGCTAGAGGCTACCTGAGGGAGCTTTGTCTGTGTCTGTGTGACAGCACTTGCCCCTAGAGCCCTGCTAGAGGCTACCTGGGGTAGCTTTGTCTGTGTCTGTGAGTCACAGCACTTGACCCTACAGCCTACTAGAGGCTACCTGGGGTAGCTTTGTCTGTATCTGTGTGATTCAGTGGCTGATTGTTTGTGCGGGGAGCGGTGGTGCAGTGGTGAGGGCAGTGTCAGGGCGTGGCTCAGAGCGGGCGAGCGAGCTGGCAACAATGTGGGTGGGTGAGTGGGTGTGTGAGTGGGTGGGTGAGTGAGTGGGTGGGTGAGTGAGTGGGTGAGTGAGTTGGTGGGTGAGTGGGTGGGTGAGTGAGTGGGTGGGTGAGTGAGTGAGTAGGTGAGTGAGTGAGTGGGTGAGCGAGCGGGCGAGTGAGTAAGTGAGTGGGTGGGCGGGTGAGTGAGTGGGTGGGTGGGTGAGTGGGTGAGTGGGTGGGTGAGTGGGTGAGTGAGTGGGTGGGTGAGTGGGTGAGTGAGTGAGTGGGTGAGTGGGTGAGTGGGTGGGTGAGTGAGTGGGTGAGTGAGTGAGTTGGTAAGTGGGTGAGTGGGTGAGTGGGTGAGTGAGTGAGTGGGTGAGTGAGTGGGTGAGTGGGTGGGTGGGTGAGTCAGTGGGTGGGTGGGTGAGTGGGTGAGTGAGTGAGTGGGTGGGTGAGTGAGTGGGTGTGTGGGTGAGTGAGTGGGTGGGTGGGTGGGTGAGTGAGTGGGTGGGTGGGTGAGTGAGTGGGTGAGTGAGTGGGTGAGTGGATGGGTGGGTGGGTGAGTGGGTGGGTGGGTGAGTGAGTGGGTGGGTGAGTGAGTGAGTGGGTGAGTGGGTGGGTGAGTAAGTGGGTGAGTGAGTGGGTGAGTGAGTGAGTGGGTGAGTGCGTGAGTGAGTGGGTGAGTGAGTGAGTGGGTGGGTGAGTGGGTGGGTGGGTGGGTGAGTGGGTGAGTGAGTGGGTGGGTGAGTGGGTGGGTGAGTGAGTGGGTGGGTGAGTGAGTGAGTAGGTGAGTGAGTGAGTGGGTGAGCGAGCGGGCGAGTGAGTAAGTGAGTGGGTGGGCGGGTGAGTGAGTGAGTGGGTGGGTGAGTGGGTGAGTGGGTGGGTGAGTGGGTGAGTGAGTGAGTGGGTGAGTGGGTGAGTGAGTGAGTGGGTGAGTGGGTGAGTGGGTGGGTGAGTGAGTGGGTGAGTGAGTGAGTTGGTAAGTGGGTGAGTGGGTGAGTGGGTGAGTGAGTGAGTGAGTGGGTGAGTGAGTGGGTGAGTGGGTGGGTGGGTGAGTCAGTGGGTGGGTGGGTGAGTGGGTGAGTGAGTGAGTGGGTGGGTGAGTGAGTGGGTGGGTGGGTGAGTGAGTGGGTGGGTGGGTGGGTGAGTGAGTGGGTGGGTGGGTGAGTGAGTGGGTGAGTGAGTGGGTGAGTGGATGGGTGGGTGGGTGAGTGGGTGGGTGGGTGAGTGAGTGGGTGGGTGAGTGAGTGAGTGGGTGAGTGGGTGGGTGAGTGGGTGGGTGAGTAAGTGGGTGAGTGAGTGGGTGAGTGAGTGAGTGGGTGAGTGCGTGAGTGAGTGGGTGAGTGAGTGAGTGGGTGGGTGAGTTGGTAAGTGGGTGAGTGGGTGAGTGGGTGAGTGAGTGAGTGGGTGAGTGAGTGGGTGAGTGGGTGGGTGGGTGAGTCAGTGGGTGGGTGGGTGAGTGGGTGAGTGAGTGAGTGGGTGGGTGAGTGAGTGGGTGGGTGGGTGAGTGAGTGGGTGGGTGGGTGGGTGAGTGAGTGGGTGGGTGGGTGAGTGAGTGGGTGAGTGAGTGGGTGAGTGGATGGGTGGGTGGGTGAGTGGGTGGGTGGGTGAGTGAGTGAGTGGGTGGGTGAGTGAGTGAGTGGGTGAGTGGGTGGGTGGGTGAGTGGGTGGGTGAGTAAGTGGGTGAGTGAGTGGGTGAGTGAGTGAGTGGGTGAGTGCGTGAGTGAGTGGGTGAGTGAGTGAGTGGGTGGGTGAGTGGGTGGGTGGGTGGGTGAGTGGGTGGGTGAGTGGGCGGGTGGGTGGGTGAGTGAGTGAGTGGGTGAGTGGGTGGGTGAGTGAGTGAGTGGGTGAGTGAGTGAGTGGGTGAGTGGGTGGGTGAGTGGGTGGGTGAGTGGGTGAGTGGGTGAGTGAGTGAGTGAGTGGGTGGGTGAGTGGGTGGGTGAGTGAGTGGGTGGGTGAGTGAGTGAGTGGGTGGGTGAGTGAGTGGGTGAGTGAGTGGGTGAGTGAGTGAGTGGGTGGGTGAGTGAGTGAGTGGCTAGGTGAGTGGGTGAGTGAGTGGGTGGGTGAGTGGGTGAGTGAGTGGGTGAGTGAGTGAGTGTGTGAGTGAGTGGGTGAGTGAGTGGGTGAGTGAGTGGGTGAGTGAGTGAGTGGGTGAGTGGGTGAGTGAGTGAGTGGGTGCGTGAGTGAGTGGGTGAGTGAGTGAGTGTATGAGTGAGTGTATGAGTGAGTGTATGAGTGAGTGTATGAGTGTGAGTGAGTGAGTGTATGAGTGAGTGAGTGTATGAGTGTGTGTGTGAGTGAGTGTATGAGTGAGTGAGTGAGTGTATGAGTGAGTGAGTGTATGAGTGAGTGAGTGTATGAGTGAGTGAGTGTATGAGTGAGTGTATGAGTGAGTGTATGAGTGAGTGAGTGAGTGTATGAGTGAGTGAATGAGTGAGTGTATGAGTGTATGAGTGAGTGTATGAGTGTATGAGTGAGTGTATGAGTGAGTGAGTGTATGAGTGAGTGAGTGTGTGAGTAGTGAGTGAGTGTATGAGTGAGTGTATGAGTGAGTGTATTAGTGAGTGTATGAGTGAGTGTATGAGTGTATGAGTGAGTGTATGATTGAGTGAGTGTATGAGTGAGTGAGTGTATGAGTGAGTGAGTGTATGAGTGAGTGTATGAGTGAGTGAGTGTGTGAGTGAGTGTATGAGTGAGTGAGTGTGTGAGTGAGTGAGTGTATGAGTGAGTGTATGAGTGAGTGAGTGTATGAGTGAGTGAGTGTATGAGTGAGTGAGTGTATGAGTGAGTGAGTGTATGAGTGAGTGAGTGAGTGTGTGAGTGAGTGTATGAGTGAGTGAGTGTGTGAGTGAGTGAGTGTATGAGTGTGTGAGTGTATGAGTGAGTGTATGAGTGAGTGAGTGTATGAGTGAGTGAGTGAGTGTGTGAGTGAGTGTATGAGTGAGTGAGTGTGTGAGTGAGTGAGTGTATGAGTGAGTGAGTGTATGAGTGAGTGAGTGTATGAGTGAGTGAGTGTATGAGTGAGTGAGTGAGTGTGTGAGTGAGTGTATGAGTGAGTGAGTGTGTGAGTGAGTGAGTGTATGAGTGTGTGAGTGTATGAGTGAGTGTATGAGTGAGTGAGTGTATGAGTGAGTGAGTGTGTGAGTGAGTGAGTGTATGAGTGAGTGTATGAGTGAGTGAGTGTATGAGTGAGTGAGTGTATGAGTGAGTGAGTGTATGAGTGAGTGAGTGTATGAGTGAGTGAGTGAGTGTGTGAGTGAGTGTATGAGTGAGTGAGTGTGTGAGTGAGTGAGTGTATGAGTGTGTGAGTGAGTGAGTGTATGAGTGAGTGAGTGTATGAGTGAGTGAGTGTATGAGTGAGTGTATGAGTGAGTGAGTGTGTGAGTGAGTGAGTGAGTGTGTGAGTGAGTGAGTGTATGAGTGAGTGAGTGTATGAGTGAGTGAGTGATCGCTTCTCGCCCTGCACCTCACCTGAAGGAGCTGGTGGAGCTGGGTGGGGAGGAGTGGAATGCGATGGAGAATCTTGGGGCGCGGCTGCCTTTATAGTGGCCGCTCAGCCACACCCACAGACTCACACACACATACACACTCACACACACAGACTCACACACACAGATACACACAGACACACACACAGACTCACACAGACACACACACAGACTCACACAGATACACACAGATACACAGACTCACACACTCACACACACACAGACTCACACCCACAGACTCACACACACAGATACACACTCACACACACAGATACACACTCACACACACACAGACTCACACACACAGATACACACTCACACACACACAGACTCACACATACACACAGATATACACAGTACACACAGACTCACACACAGACTCACACACAGATACACACACACAGACTCACACACACACAGACACATACACAGACTCACACACACACAGACTCACACAGACACACAGACTCACACACAGACTCACACACCCACAGACTCACACACACACAGACACACACACAGACTCACACACACAGACTCACACACACAGACACACACACAGACACACACACAGACACACAGAGACTCACACACACAGACTCACACACACAGACTCACACACACACAGACACACAGACTCACACACAGACTCACACACACCCACACAGACTCACACACCCACAGACTCACACACACAGACTCACACAGACTCACACACAGACAGATACACACACACACAGACTCACACCCAGACTAAAAAA